GGCTCTGTCCAGATTAGCTTTGTTCCAGTCCTTGGTGAGCTCCACATGGCATCTCTTTCCTTTTTGCTCTTTTTCCTTTGGGCCAATCTGCTCTATATATCTCAAAAATGGTTAAGTTTACCATGCCTCCTACACAGATCTGATCATATTAACATAACAAAGACCTATTCCCAAATGAGATTACCTCCACAATTAGAGTTTTGAATTCCAACACATTTTGAGGAACACAATTTAATCCTTAGTAGTCTCTAACACCTCACTCAATGCCTGTCTGTCCAACACTGAAGTTCTTATCTTCAATCTCCTTTTCCCTTTTTCCATTTCTGATGGTAACAGAATCAGAAAGTTGGAGGGTAGATCTTTTACCTTTTTTCTACACACCTCTCTAACCACCATTATTCTCTCCACAGTCATCTTTACAGTTCCCTGTGGAGCCTCTTCTCCAGCCTGTTCATTTTTTACAGGAGATAGACTGACATAGTGACCACAACAGTAGGCTTTTAAGCACAGCAGAGATTGTATGGATGGCACAGGATTGGGCAAGGTTTTTTGTCTACTGTACATACAGTCACTATGAGAGTAAACTCACATGCACCTATCAGAGCACTAGATCTAAAATGCACAGTTGATTTGTCTTTCTTGACTTGAAAACTTTAGTAGTCCCTTGATGGTACTGCTGCTTCCTTTTGTCTCATCCCTTACAGTCCTGAAGGCGCCCTAGGCTCATGGGAACTCTTGAGCTTTTCAGTAGATCTGCCTCTGATGCTTGGTAAACTCTTATTCCTCCCATTTCCTAGGGAGCTATCTGGTGGCCTAGTGGGTAAGGAGTTGTGCTGCCAAGCCAAAGGAAGGCAATTAGAATCCACCGGCTGTTCAGAGGGAGAAAGACTGTCAGTAGAAACTGAGAGCTAGACTTTAGGAGTCATTTTCATGAAAAGTCAGTGGGCCTACATTTGTTTACTGCATCTCAACAAAAACTTTTTCTTCAAAACAACATGGTCATTATTACAAACAGGTTCTGGGAAGTATTAGGTTGCATCATCAGTTTCTGGGGAAAATGAAAAAGGATAGGGTAGAAAGCAAAACCACAGAGATGGCTCACCCATCGAGTATGTCATCCCTATCTAATGTGTCAGGCTTTTTCTTGTTATCTCCTTTGATCTTCATAACAGTGTGAGATAGGGCTTAGAAATGGAATTGGGTAGAGATCTTGACTCTTAGAAAGTTTGGGACCAGAGGGCAGATTTTTTTTCCATTGCCTTGGTGTGGAGCTGGCTGATTGTGGCCAATTTGTGTATAACTTGTGCTTTTGGCCTGAAATAGTAGGGTATGTACTCTATCAGACCTGAGGGTTCTACAGGCTAACCAATGGAGCTCTGGTAGCCCAGTACTGAGATGGTGCACTACCAGCCCTCAGGCATGCTGGGCACTCCTCTTCCATGTGATTTAAAGCCTCTGAATGTCCATTGGAGATATTTAGCTATGAATCAGCTCTGATTTGGTGGCACAAAACAATTTAAGACACACCAAGAAGTCAGGGTAGCCTATGATAAAACTATAGCAATGTGTATGCTATACACCAGGAGTATAACTGGAAGATCTGTCATCAGCACTGATGTGTCTTGTTGTTTGTTTTTTAATTTATTAATTTCAGTGAAAATTTACAGAGACTTTGGATTTCCATTCATTCATTGTTGCACTTTTATGCTCTCTGAACCCTCCCCCTCCCCAGTACACTACCTTCTTGGAAAAGGAAAAGAAAAATTCTTTCATTGTTTTTACACCCATTGTTTTTACGCTCCAATATGCAGCCTTCGCTCTGGACTCCTGTCATGACAATAATACCTAATCACATATCCCTTTTAAAGAGTTTCTCCCTCATCTGTTTCAATGCAGTATACTTTACTGAACTCATCTTTCTCAGTCTCCCCCCAACTCCAAAGTCAGTCCTGTTTTACAACAGTGCTACCATGCAGTATTTGTCCTTTTGTGACTGAGATACTTCACTCAGCATAAAGTCCCCCAGGGTCACCCATTTTGAATATTGCATGAGGTTCCTTGTTTTTCAATGCAGTGTAGTATTCCATTGTGTGAATATACCAGAGCTTCTCTATCCATTTGTTGATGGGCATTTAGGTTAAACCTGTTTCCAACTCCTTGCTTTTGTGAACAAAGCCGCGATAAACATGGGTGTGCATTGTTTTTAAGATTGATAATCTTCCTGTTCTTAGGAGGGGAAGTGATTGCACTGTGGTTTGCAGAGGCACTCCCTTGTACTCACCTTACCCTCCCTGTGCTGGAACCAAGCTGCCAAGTCACTGTTAGCCTGAGAAAGCCCGAGCCAGCTAACAACCCAGAAGTCTTAGAGGGCTGAATGACTGTGCTTCAGAGGAGCATGCTACCGTGTCTGTCTGCAGAAGATGATACCATCTGTTTACCTTGGCCAAAAAGGACAGCTGTAGCTCAAGAACCAGTTAGTGGGAAATACATAAGTGGTACTGCAAGTCGTGTCAGCTACATTTCTCGAGCCAAGTTTTGGAGTTTGATTTCTATTTTAATGTTTTCACTCTAGGAGTACATTCATGCAAAAGCATCAGTTGTAACATTTAAACCTGCATTAGGTTAACTTTGGTGTATGCCATACAGACATGTTTGAATGTTTGGTCTGCATTCCCAAAGTGACATTTCTTCCTCAGACTCCACTGTCACTGTCCTCACTCCTGTTCTCAGTTGTGATCTTCATCGCCTCTGAGAATATTTACCAGCTACCTAAGTAATAGGTGGGGAGGATGGAGAGGTTGAGAGCACTGGTTGGACTATTTTTGGGCATTCTGAAGAAGGGAAGCATAACAAACATGTCTGTTCATGTGATGCCATTTCTTTCCCTAATGCAGCAAACACGGCTGTGAGGAAACGAAGAGCTCATTTTTTTTTTTAATACCTCAAGATGCATGGTTGCTAGCCTTTCAGAATTTTATATTCCAAATAAAATGGTAACTTCTGCATCTTACTGGTGGTAACCAAGTGAATTTCCCTAACCCTAAATAACAATTTTCTCAAAGGTTAGTCAATATATTGATCTTCCAGGTGAGATTCTAAGAACATCTTTTCAAAGGACTGGGCATTCTTTTTACATGAGGCTAAATCTTGGTACATATATAGTGTTGTACATACAATCTTGGTTCTTTGCCAGGTTTTATATACTTATTTCTGAAATGTGATACATATTTCCATTCTATTTAGAAACTATTTGAGAAGACTTGATTTCTCCCCGAATCTATTTTTTTCTGTTAATAGACCACCTATGGCTAAATAGACCACCTATAGCTCAGTGGAATCTTCCTTCTCTTATGACTTGATGAGAAAACTTGGTAGTAGATGGGGGTCATTTATAAATGAAAGTCAGAACATGAGGAAGAATAGGTATGTTTATGCTAACCAGACAGTCTTTGAATATGATTCAGAAACAATTATTAAAGCTGAAGGAACTGCAATTTCCTCATCTGCAAAGTATAGGTAAGGATGCCAGCAGAAGACGTGAAGAGGTACAGGTAACTTGTGGGATGTGGAGGCAAGTATGCCCGGTATCCATATTTCCAGTCCCCAGCTTTTTTTCAGGGATCCACTGAATACTGACGAGGGCCATGACATAGAAGTGCTGGTCACCAATACCACTAAGGTCACACATGGTAATTTTTATTTCTTTCCCACTACCTGGTTGCATCATTCTGTTGATGCACTTGTGTTCTCTTGTTCCACTCCCATGGAACCTGGAGAAATTTATCAAGGCCAAAGGTAACATACGGGCCCAAAAGAACAAAGTAATCCTCGGTGCATTTTATTATCAGCAGTGGGAGGGAAGCAATAAGGCTGTGGTAGTGTATAAGAACTTCACTCTTTCTCACCAACTGGAAAATGAAAGCCCTTTCAAACTGGTTTCTAATCTGTTTGATTTAAGAGCTTCCTTGAAGTTTCAAGTTCATCCTGTACTACCGTGCCTTCTTAAAGAAAAGAGCAGCAATGAAATACTAGCCCTCACCTGACCTAGACTTTCATGATAAAACTTCAAGCACAGATTTAAAGGAAGGGACAGTTAGTCCCCACAGTCATAATAGGGAGACATTCCTTTCATATTATTTATTCTTTTCATTAGTAACTCTATGATTCATTAAAAGTTAAATTATTTTTTATGCCCTTGAATGAGAAGAATTTGCTATCACACTATTATAAAGTAATAGCTTCAGTATTACCCTGCAAATCTTGTTCTTTATAAAATATTAATCTTCCATTAATCTTTCCCCTTATCTCAAAAACTCTGGCATATGGATTATAAATTGTGTCACCTAGTTTTATAGATTATACTATATAATAATAATCTACAATCTTATAGATTATATATTCATATTATATATTATTATATATTCTTATTCCTACTAAATTGCTCAAAGCTTTAAAAAATGACATGTACAGGTCTCACCAGGCCTTTGTCCTTTAGATGCTAGTTCTCTGGATGCTACAGTTAGTACAGTTGGCATCAAAGAAAAAGCTTCTAGTGGCATCAGGATGTCATAATACATTCACTGACTCAGCTCTGTAATAAAAAATAACATGGCAGTCCCAAGGCAATCTAAGCTATAGGATTTTGAGGTTTCAATCACCCAGACAAGAAGCTCTTGTGCCCTATGAGTGGAGTACCGCTACTAATCCAGCGGGGTCACCTCTCTAGCAGTTCCTGCTTGATGGCAACTGAGAATCACTCAAAGGCTATGGGAGAAATTTACAATGTGCATGTGGCAGATAAATTACATGTCTACCAAGTTCTATTCTCATCTTTTTCTGAACATAAGCTACATTTCCTGTCCAATGCCATCCGTAAAATGGTGCTTATATAATAAGAGAAGCTTCAGATTACAAGTATGTGTACCCTGTCACAAGTTATTGTGTCTCTGACTGGTAAGAGAACTATTCATGTATTGTTGTTACCCTTCATTTATTTCTAGGCTGCCACCTAAAAGACTTTGGAGATCTGAATTTTACTCCAGTTCCCAAAGATGATCTCTACAACAACCTGGTAGTGAATCCACGCTCAGTGGGCCTTGCCAACCAGGAGTTGGCTGAGGTGGTTAGTAGAGCTGTGTCAGATGGCTACAGCTGCGTCACGGTCGGAGGAGATCACAGGTAAACAGGATGGGGAGGGGAAAGCCTGGGATGACATGGTGTTTGGGGCTAGTCATTTAGCATTATTGTCCTTGTCTCCTCACTTGGAAAATTTTTAGAGTATGTTGTTGTTGCATGACTTATAGCAACCTTATGAACAACAGGTCTGAACCCTGTCCTTTCCTTTGCCAGTCTTACAATTTCTGATACACTTAAGCCTATTGTTGTAGTCACTGTGTTGGTCTACCTGGTTGAGGACCCTATATCTAAATAACAGTATTATCATGTCTAAGATCATGAACTGCTGGAGGCACTGTGGTTTTCTTTGTACAACTGTGTAATTGTACATTGTGTAACAGGAAGAGGACATACTCAAATACAGCAAGTTCAGGGGTAGGTAGGCCAGTCAGAACTTTTAGGCACCCAGTCATGTGCTTCACTCTTGAAAAGCTTTGGTGAAAAATTAGGACTTTTACATTTGCTACTATGAAGTTAAAAGGAAGTTCCATTAGCATTTTGCTGACAGGTTTGTTAGATATCTGCTCTTTGGCTTAGGAGTACATTTTCAGTGGACCCTAGGTAACAATATATACAGCCCTTTTATCAATGAACATGTATTTTACTGAGCACTACTCTGATATGTTCTCATCTGTGCTAGGGATTACAAATATGAAAGTAAGAAGCCCCTGTTGTCAAGAACTCTATAATCTGTTTAGGACTACATCTGAAAATTCTACAAGACCTAAGAGAAGGAAGAAAGGCTAGTCATAGTCTTCGACTATGACTTATAGTGACCTGATGAACAACACACCTGAACCCTGTCCTGTACTGTGGCAACCTCATAATCTCTGACATACTTGAGCCCCTTGCGGCAGTCACTCTGTCAATCCACTGGTTGAGGGTCCTCTTCTCCATCAATGTCCCTCCGCCTGTCCAAGCAGGATGCCCTTCTCCAAGAAATAACCTGTTCTAGCAGCAAGCCTAGAGTACACGACAAAGCTTTGCCACCCTTGCCTCCAAGGAGCACTCTGGCTTCATGTTCTCTAAGACATGTTTCTTCTTTTGGCTGTCCATGGAATATTCAGTACTCTTTTCCAATACCACAGCTCAAGGGCTTCACTTCTTCAGCCATCCTTTTCTTGTCCAGCACTCAGAAGCAGAGTAAGTGATTTAAAAGATCATGGCTTGAATCAGGTGCACCTTACTCCACAAACTAACATCAATGCTCCTCAGTAATTTGGAGATTTCCCCAGTATAATACCTCTCTAACCTCTTGACTGCTGGTACTGAGTGTACTGCTTGTTGATCCAAGTAAGATGAAGTCATTGACAGTTTTTGTCTTTTCTCCATCTATCATGATGTAGCCTAGTGGTCCACTGGTGAGAATTTTTATGATGTTGAGATGTAAACCATACTGAAGACTACAGTTTTTTATCTTCTCCAGCAAGTGTTTCAAATCCTCATTTTCAGGAAGTAAGGTTATATCATCTGCACACTGATGATTAGTGATGAGTCTTCCTCCAATCCTGATGCCACCTTCTTCTTCATAGAGTCCAGCTTCTTGAATATTTTGCTCGGTGTACTTATTGAATAGGTATGGAGAAAGGATACAACCCTGATATACACTTTTCTGTATTTTAAACCATGTAGTGTTCTTGTGCTCTGTTTGCACAGCAGCTGCTTGATCTAGGTATAGGGTTTACATGAGGTTAATTAAGTGTTCTGGGATGCCCATTCTTCTCAAGGGTAGCCATAATTCCTCTGATACTCCTTGCTTTCACTCAGGATCCATCTGACATTAGCAATGATATCCCTAGTGCCACACCATCTTTTAAATCCAGACTGAACATCTGGCATTTCTTTATGTACTGTTCTAGCCATTTTTGAATGATCTTCAGCAGTATTTATGAGATACTGATACTGTTGGTAATTTAGGCTAAGTTAATAGTAATTTCATAGGGGAGTATGATTTGAACTAAGTCATAGGGGAGTCGTGGTTGCCGTGAGGCTGAACACTGTGACGCTACTGTGTCAGATGTGTTAACTGCTGGTTACCCAATGCAGACAGAGTGGGGTGGAGCTCCCCAACTAAAACAAGCTTGGAAGGAGGAGTGGCATCCATTTCCATAATAGCCTGCCTCCAGAAACCCTATGAACCTGCAGAGAGGATGAAAGACACAGGCATTGAGGATTTGCCTTCATAGGGTCACTATGAGTCGCCTGCGACTCGACGGCACTTAACAACATCATCAACATAGAGAGAGATCAGCTGTCCCAGTGGACAGAAAGCGATGCTACCAAGCAAAAGGTGGGTGACTTAGTCCGCGGTCCTCGGGCCAGTCTTTCATTGTTTTATTCAGACATTCCTCTAGGTCATATAGCCCTGGTGTACAAAGTTGCCATACAGCGGTACCTTGTGGTTGCTGTGAGGCTAAACACTGTGACACTGGTGTGTCAAATGCGTTAATGGTTGGTTACCCAATGCAGACAGAGAGTGGGGTGGAGCTCCCCGATTAAAACAAGCTTGGAAGGAGGAATGGCATCCACTTCCGAAATAGCTTGCCTCCGGAAACCCTGTGAACCTGGAGAGAGGATAAGAGACACCCTACTCTCCTTTATAGGGTCGCTATGAGTCGCCTGCACGGCACTTAACAACAACAACATAGGGGAGTGTGATTTGAACTAAGTAATCACAGTTTTCATGGAAGGAAAAAAGGCATTAAGGTGCTAGAAGTACTGAGTATCTCATACCTATTCTCAAGTACTTATCTTTAAAATGTCATGAGGTAGATAAAGGTTATCTTCATTTACTGCTCTGTACACTCAGGTCAAATAAGTAAGGTTAAGATCTAGGAAATAATAAAGCTGGGAGTCAGTCAGTGTGACCCCTAAGTCCATTAATATCTTTTTCCAGATCCAATATAACAGCCTTTTTTGAAAGCTTTTCAGATAAATCTTTCTTGTCATAACCCTAGAGGAAGCTAGATTATGCATTAAGAAGTAAACTGAGGTAGAGTAAGAAAGTGGTCAGTCCTAGATTCTCGACTAAGATTTAATGAAATCCAGCAGAAGGTGGGTCACTTGTGTCCTTGCTACCTCTGGAAATTCATTTGTCCAGTCTTTCTTCTGGTCAGAGATCAATTATCTTGATAAACCTAATCCAAAACCAGCCAGAACATTTCAATGACCGGGAACTGCCAAAAGTTCAAGTCAGGTTTAAAAGAGGCTATGGCAACAGGGTTATCAGATGGTTATGTCAAATGGATTCTGGTTGAAAGGAAAATACAAGAATGTCTGTGTTTTACTGACTATGCAAAGGCATTTGAGTACAGATCATTGTAACAAGAGCAAGGGCCACGTGGGGATGGCCATGCCTGACCCTTACCGACTTCATAGTAAGGAACTATTCCTATCAACAGCACAAACGGATTCCTATGAGGTCAGACATGTCACCCATGCTCCCATACATCTCAACACCAATCTTAATGCTTTGCTGGGTCCAGAATCCGACGTGATGGTTCAGAGACTACACAGAACCATGATGGGGAAGTAAAAAAAAAGTTATAATCCAGGTTAGTAGCAGAATACAGCCAGGACAGCTTCTGAAATGTGCATGCAGGCATCTCAGCCTTGAGCCTTTGGTTTTAGACCAGTGTCACAGTATTCTCAGTCCTGCCAATATTGTCTCTACCCTACGCCCCCCACCCCACTCCCTAACACCACCACTTCAAATTATCCAACAAACTTGGGCAACAGCAAACTTGGTTTAGCTCTGTTCTGTCCATGGGGGGAAAGTAGCCAGCTTCGGCTATGGCTGATGCTGCCATAGTTGTAGCTAAAACCATATATGTCTGGTCTGGAAGGGCGTCCTACATTTTCTTGGTGTTGTCATCTTCTCTTTACTGGTGGGGAAGATCTAATCTTCTGTTGGAGTTGTTCAATTTACTGGCAAGATTAGCCAGTTCCTTTGTAGACTGGTGAGACTGACCAATCCCTTTATGGAATGGTAAGACAGCCAATCCCTTTGTAAATAGGCTAACAGGCTCTGTTCACATATTTCTGCCCATCCACATGGTCATGTTAGATGGCTAGGAAAGTTATATTCAAAGATAAACTCCACAATCATAATAAACCCTGCTAACATTTGAGAAGAATTCCAGAATACTTACTTGTTCTCATACAAAATCTATACCTAGACCAAGAAGCTGTAGCAAACAGAGCAAGGGAATACTGCATGATTTAAAATCAGGAAAGGTGTGCATTAGGGATGTATCCTTCCTCTTTATCTCTTCAGTCTGTATGCTGAGCAAATAATTCGTGAGGCTGGACTCTATGAAGAGGAATATGGCATCAGGACTGGAAGAACAACTTGTATTATGCAGATGACACAACCTTGCTTGTTGAAACACCTGTTGCTGAAGATCAAGGACTACAGCCTTTGGTATGGATTATATCTCAACATCAAGGCAACAAAAATCCTCAGCATTTACCAATAAGCCATATCATGACAGATGGAAAGAATGAAATTTTCAACAATTTCATTATACTTGGATTAATTGCTTCGGGTCATGGTCTTTTTCAATTGCAATGCATCTTTTACTTGCAATGCACCTGAGAGCTGAACAATGAAGAATTAATGCCTTTGAGTTGTGAAGAGTTGAGTTGAGAAGAGTGCCAAATATCCCATGGATTTCCAAAAGAACAAACAGGTATGTCTTGGAAAAAGTGCATCCAGAGTGCTCCATGGAGGCAAAGATGGCTAGGCTTTGTCTCTCATACTTTGGGCATGTTGCTAGGAGAGGATGTTCCCTGGGAAGGAACATCATGCTTAGAAAGCTGGAAGGTCAGTGAAGGAAGGAAGACCTCTAGTAAGATGGACTGACACAATGACTGCAGTTAACTGGCTGGAGTATGTCAGAGATAATGCGGATGGCACAGGACAGGATTCAAGTCAACTGTTGTTCTTTGGGACACACAAATCTAGGAAGAAGTACAGCCAGAAACATTATTAGAACCAAGAAGCTCTAGTGGGACAATCTGTAGCATGTAACACAGTTAATTAGAACGCTCCTTAGAAGCAAAGATGACAAGACTTAGTCTTAACATACTTTGAACATGTTTATCAGGAGAGTCCAGTTCCTACAGAACATCATGCTTGATAAAGTTGGAGGGTCGGTGAAAGAGCAAAAAAGGCCTTTAACAAGATGGACTAAAACAGTGACTGCAACGGTGGGGTGATACTGTGAGGCCTGCACAGAACCAGGCAGTGTTTTATTCTTTCCTATGTAGAGGTGCTGTGAGTTGAAACTGACATGAGAACATCATCCTTCTTTGAAGCCTAAAAGTTTCTTTTGAAGTGCCAAATTCCTGGGTTATGGAGAGCTGGGCAGCTTTCCCAAGCTCACCCAACTATAGTCTTGCAATTTAAAGGAGACATTTGGTTAATGTAAGAGACAAAGGACAAAGGAAGGGAAAATGCAGAGAAACACCCCTTGGTATTTAGATGCCATGAAAATGATATACGGTAACATACAGATAAACTTTTTTGTTCATTAGTCTAAATGTATTGTCTTACTTATTTAACATCAGTCTTTAACATCTTTGACTTTTCAAATGTTAGGAACTATTATCTTTCTAAAAGCATTCTAGTTTTTATCCTTAAAAGGTTAACCATAAGGGAGCTCTAGTGGCCTAGTGGCAAGAAGCTGCACTGCAATCCCAGAGGTATGCAGTTTGAATCCACCAGGTGCTCTGCTGGAGAAGGAGGGGCAATCTCAACCTGTATCAGTCAGATCCGATTTGACAGTACACAAATAAAAAGCAAATTTTTTTTAAAAAAGTTAATTTATATAACGGATTCTTTGGAAGCAATAATTAGATTCCTGTCTTCCTTAAGAGATGAAATTACATTTTTATTGTTACTAGGTCTTGTTGTTGAGTACCATCAAACTAGAACCGACCAATAGCTGATCCTCCAGTGAGTTTTAAAGACAGTAAATCACATGGAAGGAAAATGTCCATCTTTCTTCCGTGGAACAGCTAGTGGATTCGAACTGTGTACCTTTGCACTGGCAGCACAGTTATTACTATTAAGCCACCAGAGCTCCCTGTAGTTAGATACAGACCACATTATTTAAATGGGTTTAATTTTATTTCACTTAACAAATATTTGAGGTTCTTTGCTAGGCCAGGGCTGATGGGTCAAATGGTACTAATTTGGGACAATAATAACATTTGCCACACTGCAGAGATAAGCAGTTGTCACCTTTGAGTCTGGAGAGCCTTTCTCTGTAATTCCATTAAAGTTACTCTTTGGGAACTGCAGCCCTTGGGACTCTGTCTCATCTAAACCTTGCCTCAGTCGGGAGCCCGACTTTGCCCTGAGGACAGAGTGTGAGCTGTGTTGGCTGAGATGTGTTATTGGTGATGCCTGCCAACTTGAGGGCCTTGAAGATTATTGTATTTGTTCTTTACAGCCTAGCAATTGGAACCATTAGCGGCCACACCCAGCACTGCCCAGACCTTTGTGTCATCTGGGTTGATGCCCATGCTGACATCAATACACCCCTAACTACTTTATCTGGAAATCTCCATGGACAGCCAGTTTCGTTACTACTCAGAGAACTACAGGACAAGGTCAGTTGTGTGAAGTAAAAAGAAAGTCACATGGCCCCCAGGGATTGTCTTGGGGGTTTTAGTACCCACTTTAGCAAGAATTTTGGGAAAGGTGGGTTGAGGATGGCAGGTATAGAGATGGTTACCACTCCTTCATTTGTTCATTAAGCATTAAGGTTAAGTCTGCTAAATGAAAAATGATGGTCCTTAGATATATAACCTGAAAACTTCCTGGCTAAAGGCTGCCAGGTCTCACAGACTCAACTGTCTAGAAAACAAGGAAAAGCAGGTTACCACTGAAAAATATCAGCTATTCAAAAGACACAGACTTGGGAATCCATGTTAGGCATATAGCAGTCAGGAAATCAAGAGACAAATTGCACTGGGAATATCTGCTGTCTGGGACCTCTCCAGAGTACTGAGATGCAACAGTGTCAGTTGAGAGACTAAGGTGCGGCTGATCTAGGCCATGGTCTTCGCAATTACTTGCTATGCATCAGAGTGTTGGACAGTGACTAAGGATGACAGAACAATCAATGCCTTTGAGCTATGGTGCTGGAGAAGAGTCCTCCAAGAAAACTGTCTATTTTAGAGAGAGTGAAACCAAGATTCTCTTTGGAGGTTAGGATTTTGAAACTCTCTCACATACTTTGGGCATGTGGCCAGGAAGGACTAGTCCTTGGAGAAGGACATCATGCTTGGAAGGGTAGAGTGACAGTGTGCAGGAGAGGGAGACTCCAGATGAGATTGATACAGTAACTGGGGTAATGGGTGTTGGTATGTTGGAGTCAGTGAAACTGGCTCAGAATAGAGCAGGCTTCAAAGCTATTGTACATAAGGTCACTATGAGTCGCGGTTGACTTGATGGCACATAACAATAACAACAGAAGCTGTATACCTTTCCACTCAATGAGGGACCAAGTTAAACCAGGGCAGTGCAAAGGTTATTCGGGAGGCAAGATTCATGTTTGGGCGTTTGGCAACTTGAGATGACTACTGGGTTATGCTCCAAGAGCCAATATGTAAACAACTCAGTACTGCGCATAGAGGTGGAAAAGGGCTAATCAGCAGTGTTCTTGTTATTTAAACTAGTTAATGAGAAACTTAGGCTACTCTGGAAGAGATTTTTTTGTGTGTTTGTTTTTATTCTTCTAGGGAAATCAATACTGGGTTCTGCAGTTGTCCTTCTGAAACATTTCCACTTCTATCAGTTCTTTCCCTGATCCATTCAACTGTATCTTATGTTGCTTTAAATATATTCTGTGAGTAGGAGAAAGTAGTCTACATATATTGGTGAGACCAAGGAGTGTTGATTAATTCTATCCCTCCCTTCACAGGTACCACAACTCCCAGGATTTTCCTGGCTCAAGCCATGTATCTCTTCCCTAGATATTGTATATATTGGTCTAAGAGATGTGGACCCTCCTGAACAGTAAGTTGACATTAGAGCTAGTTAGGCTTTGGGGTACTTTTGGTTACTTATATTCCACTTGAAAAGGTTGATTTTTAATTTAAGACACAGTCCCCTAAACAACATTTGTAAAAATGCTTTTAAATCTAAGGACTTTTCCCTTTACATCTCACTACAGTTTTATTTTAAAGAAGTATGATATCCAGTATTTTTCCATGAGGGACATTGATCGACTTGGTATCCAGAAGGTCATGGAACAGACCTTCGATCTACTGATTGGCAAGTAAGTAATCACAATAATGTCTACTTCTGGATCCCAAAGGAAATAGAGTAAACACCCAAGCCTGCACACCTTCATGTGTCTCCGGAGGACAGATTTTTTTAAAAAAACATGAAACTAGATCAGAAAGGCATAATATGAAACATACCTCATATTTTTCCTCTAAGATTGGGAGGGGATTTCCTTTAAGTCATTGCCCAGATCGTGTGTTTCACATGAATTCTCTTAGCTGTTTTAGTGTTTGTTATCTTTCAAAATGAGAAGTTATTCCTTGTTCCAACCATTCATTTATTCTTCCCAGCCTCACTGTTGCTTCCTTTGCAGAGTTTTATAAGCAAATTTTGGTAATATAGTAAGATTGTAAGTGAGTGCTAATCACATGCTAAAAAAGCATTTTTCTAATACTCAGCCTTTGTTCCTGGGTAATTAATGTTAGACTCACTGCTAGTAGTGTGTAATTTCTAAGCTGTTTGAACATTTAGTGACTTGACGTGAGAATGTTGCATGTTAGTTTCAACCACTGGGTACTTGCGCTGAGTTGAAGTTAAAATTGGAAGACTGCAGACATAAAAGAAAAGTTCAGCTGGTTTTTATACTGTGAAGTGATTAAGAACTGTAACCTAGATCAGTCCACCTCAAATTAGAATATATCAGAATCTGATGGCATATGGTAGTAAAGAATTCCCTGTACCATTAATGACAGTTGCTAATGTATGAGGCTCTGGTTCCCAGGGTAAGCTAAAAATAGAAACTGGGTATACACACACACACACACACAATTGTTGTTATTAGGTGCCATCAAGTCGAGTATAGTTCATAGCAACCCTATGAACAAAAGATCTGAACCTAGCCCTATCCTGCGCCATCCCCACCCTTCCCAACATCATCCCTCTCCAAGGAATAGCCCCTCCTAGCAGTATGTCCAAACTATGTGAGGCAAAACCTCATCATTCTTGCCTCCAAAGAGTACTCTGGCTGCACCCTCTCCAAGATATCTGTTTGTTCTCTTGGCCGTCCATGGGATGTTCAGTGCCCTTCTCCAACACCATAGCTCAAAGGCATCAATTCTTTTTCTGTCATCCTTATTCAGTGTTCAGGTCTCAGATGCATAGCTAGTAATCACAAAGATCATGGTATAAACAAATGAAGTGGTATATATAAAGATAATATGCTAATAGTAACTTCCAGGAAAAGGAAACTTGGAAATATGTTGTATTAACAAAGTACTAGGACCTACAGCAACAAAATCAAGAATTCACACCACAGGAAGAATAAATGCTTAAGCACAACCAAATGACTGTTCTTTTACCCTCATTCTTTCTAGGAGACAGAGGCCAATTCATCTCAGTTTTGATATTGATGCATTTGACCCTACACTGGCTCCAGCCACAGGAACCCCGGTTGCAGGGGGACTGACTTATCGTGAAGGCATGTACATTACTGAGGAAATACACAATACAGGTATGTGGTAACCACTCTTACAGCCTGTTAACTACATAAGTAGATATACTTCCTTGTAGGGGGATCTATTCTACTATTTCAAGTTCTTACAGACTTTGTTTTTGCTTGAACTGTTAACAGCTAAAAATCATATGACCAAACTAATGAGGGTTATAGCCATCTACAAGCACATTTTGACCTGGTTTATACTGAAATATGCTAAGAGAAAATTGAATAAAAAGGTTATGTGTGTCTACTTCAAACACTTACTAAACTTAAGAATAAGCTGTCAAAGTTATAGAGTTTACTTTGTCTTTATCATTAAAAGGCAGATTAAGATCCAAAAGCAAGATTAAGGAGCTATAATTTACAGTAATGTTAAGAGGTTAGTTTACTAGCAGTCAGAAATCTGGAATTAAAGGTTATCTTGTGAAGATATTTGAAAGTTGAATAATACCTTGGATCCTTTAAAGGGTAAGTCTTATCTTCAAGCTTATTTGAAAGGAGCTTTAACATGGGGGTATTTGAAAGATGAATGCTAGATTTCAAAGAGTGGCTGAAAGGGGTTACTGCCCCAAATTCATTTTGTTTACAGTCAGTGTCCATTTCTGTCAGGAAGCTCTGGGTTTAAAGGCTACGATATAACTTTAGGAGCCATCTCAAGAGATTAGGGGATGGGTAGAACATGGAGAACCCTAGATAGATGGGTCTAGGATTAGAAGAAACTTTTGGGATAGAAATGGACATGAACAAATTATTTCCTTGGCTATGGAGGCTGCTAGACTCTTGGGCAATACAGGAAGACAGAGTCCTTGCCTGTAATACTCAATAGTGGCATATTAAGTCTCCTTTTCAGACCCACAATCTTTAGATATTGCCAGTGGTCCTTGGATGGTAGCCAAAGATCCTGGAAGTTTGTCCAGCTTTCTATTATGCTTCTCAGTGGCCCCACTTAGAGGAGGGGATGTTAACCTCTAACAGGACAGTGGTTATGCCTTGAGTGTCTGCCTCACTCCTACCCTCTAAGCTGGTGGCTACAGAACACTATTATTATACAGTGCTTACACTAAATTATAAGGGGGGCAGTAATCTAGAAAGAAAATATTTTAATAGCTTGAATCTCTATTATTTTTGGGGTGAGCCAACAGAGTGTGGAAACTACAGAACAATATCATAGATTCCACATGCAAGCAAGATTCTACTGAAGATTATCCAAAAATGACTGGAACAGTACATCAGCAGAGAACTGCCAGAAGTCCAGGCTAGGTTTAGAAGGGGTCGTGGTACTAGGGATATTGTAGCTGATGTTAGATGGATATTAGCTGAAAGCAGGGAATACCAGAAGAATGTATATCTGTGTTTCATTGATTATGCAAAGGCGTTTGACTGCGTGGATCATAAAAAACTGTGGCTGACTCTGAGAAGAATGGGAATCCCAGAACATTGAATCGTGCTAGTGCAAAACCTATACTTGGACCAAGAGGCAGTCATCAGAACAGAGCAGGGTAACACTGCATGGTTCAAAATTGGGAAGGGTGTACGCCAGGGATGTGTCCTGTCTCCATACCTTTTCAACCTGTATGCAGAGCAGATTATCTGAGAGGCTGGGCTCTATGAGGAGAAGCGTGGTGTCAGGATTGGTGGAAGATCTATAAACAATCTGCATTATGCAGATGACACAACCCTGCTTGCTGAAACTGAGGAAGACCTCATGCACTTGCTGCAGAGGGTCAAGGACTTTAGTATGGACTGAGGCTCAGTGTCAAGAAGGCAGAGATTCTCACCGCTGGACCAACTGGCAGCATCAGGATGGATGGCAAGAGATTGAGATTGTTCACAGTTTCAGTTTGCTCGGCTCCATGGTCCACACTCTTGGCACCAGCAGCCAGGAAATCAAAAAATGTATTGCGATGGGAAAGTCTGCTCTTAGGGACCTCTCTAAAGTACTTAAGAGCAACGGCGTATCTCTGGAGACTTAAGGTGCGTCTGATAAAAGCCATGGTCTTTGCAATCACTTGTTATGCATCAGAGAGTTGGACAATGACTAGGGAGGATAGGAGGAGAATTGATGCCTTTGAGCTGTGGTGCTGGAGAAGAGTATTGAATGTACCATGGACTGCCAAGAAAACAGATTCATCCTAGAGAGGGTTGAACCAGGCTACTCCTTGGAGGCAAGGATTCTGAGGTTTCGTCTGACATACTTTGGGCATGTTGTAAGGAGGGACAGGTCCTTGGAGAGGGACATCACGCTTGGGAGGGTGGAGGGACAGTGCAGGAGGGGAAGACCCTCTATGAGGTGGACTGATTCAGTGACTGGGGTAATCGGGATGGGTGTGTCAGAGCGATTGGCACAGGATAGAGCAGGGATTAGGGCTGTCGTACATAGGGTCGCTATGAGTTGTAAACGACTCGATGGCACATAACAACAACAACAACATGCTGAAAGTACAAGTTTAGTCACTGGATGTCAGACACAAATCATTTCAGGCAGCACATCACAGGGACTGATAGGAGGGCTACATGAACATGCCTGCCCGTGGCAGTTGTGCAGTACTGAACTACACAGTATAAACACAGGATGGAACACTGAATAGGTATAATGGCACTGAGTGTACCACGTATGTAAATAGTTTCCTAGGGCTGCTGTTAACAAAGCACTGCTGTAATAAATCATTGTTGACTAAAAGTACCACAACTTGGATAGTTAGAACAGAAACGTATTGTCTTTCACTTCTGCAGCCTAAGAGTTCATAATCCAGTTGCCAGCAGTGCTGATCCCTTTGGAGGGCTCTGAGGAGGGGCATGAGCATCACTCCTAGCTTTCGGTGTTGGCTGACAATCTTTGGTGTTCCTGGGCTTACAGATGCACCATTCCAAATCTCTTTCCTATGGCTGTTTCTTTAGGTCTCTTTTTCATAAGGACATCACTCATACTGGATTAGGAGTCATCCTACTCTAATATGACCTCATGCTAATAACATCTTCAAAGGACTTCCAAACAAAATCAGTCTACCAAAATACAGTACAGTAAACCATTAGGTTTGGTAGAATTTCCAGTAATTATGGCCGCACTAAGTAAGTCTTAGATATCTGTTTTGATGCCTCTTTAGATGTTGGATTAATTTAACCCAAATACTTTACTAAAAAGCTAACTTTGACAGTGGAGAAGCAAATAGTGGTAGAGAAGTGTAGATAGGTTCTTCCAGTCTTATCGTTTCTTCCACTAAGTCTGCACCAAGCCAAGGGAACAGCACCAAACTTTGGCACAGTCACTTCTAAAGTTACCAGACCCTCTCAGAAAGTAAATGGAGTTAAATCCTTAACCAAATACAAAATAGCAGGTTGGTTTCCTGGGAGATATAGAATGTGTCCGACATTAGCACCTGTCCTCAGAGATCAGATCTGCAGGGCTGACAGTAAGGTCTGCAGTAGTACCTCAACTCCAGGGCACCTGGTGAGGCTCCTAAGGAGATGGGGTACAAAGCTCAGAATTGAGAATGGCACTTTGGCTAGTGAGAAGTAAGAGACCGCTCCTGCCTAAATTGTACCTAATTCTAGACAGGCTCATCTGGAAGGTTCTTAGTTACAATGAGAATTGAAAACATTTTCCCAAAATGAAGGTTGGACACACCTTTATCCCTTCTTTCTCAAAAGCCCTCTTCTGATCCTCTGTGCCTATTATGTTAACTGAACTAGGATGAGTCATTTCATGATTTTTTCTTTTCAACCCTAATCTCGTATACTCTGTTTTAACTTAAATTCCTGACCAAGAATATGGAGAAGGGATTCGAGACAGTGGAAAATTTTATAGGAGAGAATGACTTGTGGACCTTGTCTTTTTCTCCCGGTCCAGTTAGGACCCTCACTAATAGCAGCTGCTAGGTAATTTTCTGAGGCTTTTCCACACTTTGTTCTTTCAGGATTGCTGTCAGCACTGGATCTCGTTGAAGTCAATCCTCAGCTGGCCACTTCAGAGGAAGAGGTGAAGGCCACAGCTGGCTTGGCAGTGGACGTGATTGCTTCAAGTTTTGGTCAGACGAGGGAAGGAGGACACATTGTCTATGACCAGCTTCCTACTCCCAGTTCACCAGATGAATCAGAAAGTGAAGAACGTGTGAGAATTTAGGAAATACTATGTGCTGAGAGGTGTTTCACATGGGCATTCCAAAGGCATTTGAGGGGAGAGATACTAACTGGTGGGCCAGGACAATATTGCCTTAATGAGAACATTGTAAAGTTTCTCCTCTCCATTCTAGTGACCAATACTACTTACTGTAAATGTTTGTTTTTTGAAGTTCACAGAATGTTAATATATTGGAGTACTATGTAAATTTAAACACACCATAAACAGCATTTATTACCTTGGTATATCATTCTGGTCTTGTTGATGTTCCTTCACATTTAAGTGGTTCTCCATCTTCCCTCCCTCCCACAGCAGTAACTCAGTTTATTCCATGTTCCTCATATTCATTCAGAGGGTCAAAGTTCTGGTCCATAAATCCTTCTTTATAGGAAATTCAGTGCTTGCGAAAGAATTTGTAATAAACCAGGCATCCCAGGATGATGAGCTCCAGTAAGATGACAATGGAAAGCAGCAGTTTATTGGTCACCACTCTATAAAGAAAAGCCAAATGGGAGAGAAGTCAGAGAAGCCTTGTTTCTTCCCATTCATAATTCTCTGGGTTTTGACCTGAGACCAGAGTTGGATAGTGAGGTAGGCTGAACTTTTTATCACACAGCAGTAAATATTTCTAAGAGTCTTTCACTACAAGTGATAACTTATATGCTGCTTTAGCTCTAACTCAGAGAAATGTTAAAAACTAGAAAAGGAAACAATTTTATTTCCTATTTAATTCTACAATAACTTCAAATAATAGCTACTTTCTCCAATTACTAGCTATTCTAGGAAAGCGACTGAGACAAATACTACTAAATACACATATGAAAAACCACAACACTTCTGAAATCAGAGTACATCTTTTTCCGCAGAACCAGCAGGTTCGTTCAAATCATTATTATTTAGGTTAACAATTTATCACAAACCATTTGTACCACCTAGGGACCTTATGAACAAATCTGAATTGAAAGAAGTAAGCCAGAGTGCTCTTTAGAGACAAGGATAGTGAAACTTGGTGTCACTTATTTGGGGCCAAGAGGTGCCAGTTCTTGGGAAAAGACATCATGCCGGGAAAGGTGGACAGGGTCAGAGAAAGGCAGTAAGACCCTTAATGAGTCATAGACAACTGGACAGCCCCTGAAGAGGACAACATACCTACAGTGGTCCAATTGATTCTGATGCCCTTAGGGTTTCCAAGGCTGTGAATCTTTATGGAAATGGCCATATCTTTTGCTCACCAAAGTGGTATTAAACCCAAAACTCAGTGTTTATGAATTGGTTCTGACTTACAGCAACCTCCATTGAGTTTCTGAGAATGTAAATGCTAAAGGGAGCAGCTTACCCATTTTTTCTCCCACACTGCTGCTGGTAGATTTGAACCATCTGAGATGCTCAGCCTTTGATAGCAATGCAACGCACTATAGCCTCTGCTACCAGAGCCCCCAAGAGTAGTATAGAACTTCACATTTTTAAAAATTTTCTCTTAGTTCAAGAATTTTGTGACCGGTTTTGTTGCTTTCAGCAAGGTGCCTGTTTGGTTTGTTATTCTAAACTCGCATATTTTGCTAATAATACTATATCCATCAAGGTTAATTCCCACAAAGTGCAAGCAGCAGTGAAAAGTTTTTCCTTTTTATAAATATATTTCAAAGAATATAAAGCTCTATTATTCCCACATGCTGTTTTCACAAAAGGAATTATCAGTCCTTTCAGTGGATAAATTTTTCTATGAAGACCTACTCAGAATTGTATATACTTTTAAGAAAAGTTTCTGTCCAGAAATACTTATGTACAGATCCTATTCTTTATATCTTCTAATCTGATGAGTATAGTGAGACCATGGCATCAATGGCTGAGAAACTGTATAAACTAAGTGAGCCCTGGTGGCTTAGTGGTAAGGAGTTGTTTTACCAACCCAAAGGCACACAGTTGGAATTCACCAGATGCTCTGTGGGAGAAAGATGGGCAATCTCCTCCCATATGATTTATAGCCTCTGAAAACCCTTTAGAGGGTCAGTCATGAGTAAGTTTTGACTTGATGGTGCATACCAACAATTATGAGCTACCTTGGTAGTGTAGTGTAAAACGTGTGCAGCTGATAAGAACGAACACTGGTTCAAATCCGTAAGAAGTCTCACAGGAGAAAATGGCAATTTACAGACTTGAAAACCTACTGGAGGAACTCCATAAAGGGTTCCTATGAGTCAAAGCTTGCTTGACAGCAGGGGGTTTGATAGGGGGGAAAAAAAGTTCTCATATTCTTTTTTTTTTTTAGTTCTCATATTCTTGGATGAAAGAGACACGCTAAGTGAAATGAATGTTGTAACTATATTTTAAACTTACTTTCTGGACATTGACCGGAGAATCTTCCGACTTTTGCTCAAGTTTTCATTTGTGTTTACCAGCTGAGAAGAGAAAAAAGCAATTACTCTTTCCTTTGAGAGGTACTCAGTTTAGAATGGGAACATTCCTAAAATAAAGGGGTATATACTGAAGAACTCCAAGAAATAAATTTTAATAACTGCCTCTGAACTTAAGTAGAAAAACTGGTAAGAAAAAGATACATTACTCATCAAGTAGGCATCAGCGTCATTATACCCCAGGGTTGCTTTTGAGGGGTTTCCTGGGACTGAGCTAACCCTTCACACTGGCTACTTGAGAACACTTAGCCTGTGACTGTGAAACCACTCTGAACAATTTAAGCTTTAAATTTAATTACTCAAACTCCAGAGAGGTTCTTAATGTTTGCTTTTATAGGCAATGCTTACAATGGGAATTGTGAAAAGCATTAACTCCTGCAGACCTTTTCCTTTCGACTGCCTTGTTATTAGTCTAGACAGCTGGAGGACCTGTCAAATGATGCTTCCTGCCCTCTTCCCATTCCCCAAGGGCTTGACGAGCTGTTCCCCTGGCCCATCCTTTGGCTTTTTAAATTCAGCCTACTACCTGGCATCCTCAGTGAGGAGATAAGGGCATCTCTCTGATTTAAGTATGAAGAACTACAGTTATTAAGAGGTATGAGAAAGTCTCAAATCCCCACAACAAGCTAGTATTTGGACAGTGTCTGCTTTTCAGCTTGTTTTGCCTTGTTCTATCAGGAAATTCAGCATTCTGCCAGCCAGTTGTATTTTTCAAATTCCTATACAAATGAATGAGATAGATTGATAACCATAGTTGGGGCAATGGGCGCTGGTGTGTCAGAATTAGTGAAGACGGGCTCAGGACAGAGCAGGCTTCAGAGCTGATATACACAGGGTTGCTATGGGTTGCAGGCAACTCAATGGTACTTAACAACAACAATACAAATAAACTTTTTATGGAACAGAAGAAATGAGTTCTGTTTTTTCTGAACCTCTCAGCATGACAATAGATTATAGATATCCCCTAAATAGTCATAAACTGGCTTAAGTTTCTTCCTATTTTCAACTGGCCTAGTTTCTTCCTACAATCCTCAGCAAACAGCAGAAAGATTAAGATCTTATAAGTAGATAATACTTTAAAAAGAACAGCATAATGTTCCAACAGATGATTGAAGAGAAAACCCCCCAAAACAAACTTTGCTTGTTGACTCTGAAATCTATGTATCTTGACCCATTACGATTCTCTAGCTATTAAGATGTAATGGCAGACATTAATAAAAGTGGCCACAATCTTATATGATAATCTTCAGTAAATATAGAAATCAAGTCTCTCCAGTCTTTTTTCCATTCATTTAAACAAAATTTCCAATGACTTCTAAAACTATATCTGACAGGGGTCTTCTCTCATTTAAGCATACTGAAAATGTGGAAGAGAATCAAAACATGAAAGTCACTGCCAAAACTGCTTTCACTTCTGGTCTTGGGGTACAGTGAGCTCATCCAAACCCCCTTTCCTGCCTTCATCCATCTGCCAGACTCACTCTGCTCTTGGTACGTTCCAGCTGTTCTCGTTGCTCCCCCAGTTCCTCTATGATTTCGGAGCCAATCTGGTCAGTCTCCGTGGCAATCCGATGAGAACGCTCAATACTCTGGGTGGCCCGGTTCAAGCTGTCAGTGCCTTGCAGAAGCAAGGCCCTTTGAGACTGTAGTCGATTCTAACAAGAATGTGAAAGGGAAATGTTACACTTCCATTTATACATTCATTGATGGCACATTCCTTATGACCTAAGGAGGACTATAGTAATTGTCACCAAATTGAAAGTTGACTAGTGGTGATCACATGGGTGCAGAAAATGGCTTCCTAAGGTTTTCAAGGCTTTAAAATTTAGGAAGCAGATCTTCAGGTCTCTGTTCTAAAGTGCCTCTGGTTGGATTCAAACCACCAACCTTTTGGCATGTAATTAAGTCATTCAGGGACCCCAAAGAATAATATAGTGAGAAATAATTTTCCTTTCTACTACTTTATAACATATGCGGAACCAGGAATACAATCAGCAGAATCATAATACCTTCCACTCCACTGCTACACTTTAGTGAAGCAAAAGAGCTTGAAAGGGATAGAGCACTCTCTCCGTGGCTGGAGCAAAATCTGAACTGAAGAGCGTGCCTTCTGGACGGGCAAATTCAGAGAAGCAGTGGCTCATGCAGAAGTTACTGGAAAATGCATACAGACCCTGTAACTGGTAACACTATAAGCAAGCTGTCTAAACTCTGAAGCTCTAGAAATAGATTCATTCACTAAAGATCCCGCCGGACTTGGTAGTAGGGATTAAGGTGCCTGGAATACGGTATTCTTTTTCACACATAAAGGAGCATTTAAATGTCTGAAACACTACTACACTGTAGGTGGGGGGGGAAGTGATGGTGATGACTACCCTCTTAATAAGCCCAAGAAGAATTTGACCTCTGTCTAAATAAACTTGTAAGTTGTCACGCTGGTGATTTGTGCTCTCTAAAGCCTGAATAATATTCTCTACTTGCTCCAATTTTCCAAATCCCCACAAAAGTTTATTCCAGGTTAAATGAATCTTGCGTCAGCTAGGAAGGTGGAAAGAATTAAGTAGTGGTGTTCGAATTCACCAGTGCAGCTGCCTCCAGGTGGGCAGCGCCACTCCCTAGGGGCTCCAAGGGAGAAAGGTGGCAGTCACCACCTGTGGGAGGCACAGCCTCGGAAAACCCACGGGAGGGTCAGCTGTTGTTTGGTTCTGACTCGATGGCAATTAAAATGAATTACAAAACAAAGAAGTTTCATATATGCACACTATACTTTTGTTTTTCTGCAGCTCTTATCCTTTATTTTGTTGATAGAATACATTGCTTTTTAAAAAATTGT